CCCCAAAACCCCAAAACCCCAAAACCCCATAGTATGAAATAATTTTTTTAAATAATTCTACCTGCAAAAATAAATAAATATAAATAAACAAATGCAATCATTTTAGCTTCCATAATAATCTCAAAATTATCGTATGTCACATCCAATATCTTAGAATTAGTAGCACAGGAACGCTGAGCCAATTGGTAGCAAAAGTAAAGTTTCTAAATAAGATGAGATTACTATCAGCAGATATCTGAAATAGCTAAAAGTGACTATCCCAGCCACTAGAATACCTTCATAATCGACACTAAACAATAAGTAATTCATGTCCTCTGGGTAGAACTCTGTCAATAACCTGGATATATATCAATAAAATGCTCTCAAAAGCTTTGAAAGTATCAGTAATAACAATAAGGCTGAACAAAGTCTAATGAATATTTGAGAAAATTAACTTGATAAGATCTAAGAGTAAAACATTCAAAAAGTCTAGAATTAAAAAAGCAATGCACAGCCAGATCAAACAGAAGAAATGAAAATAACTGATGCTTCTGATGAGCAGAACTAGAATTTGAACTTAATCAATTACGGAAATGCAGGACCTTCAATTTCCATACAGAAAAATTACACATCTGGAAATTTATCTCCAAAGATCACTAATCTCAATCAGCAAGTATAATTGAAACAGCAATTTAACATCATAATCAAATCACCATAGAATGACAATGACCTCTCATAGCATAAGCTTAGTTACTTTGACTCTAGAAAAGGTAGCAAATCATTTAAGAAAATAAGAAATCAAAGTATTAGTCTTAAAGTTAACAATCAAAATACGTAGCCGATCTAAGATTTTATAGTGGGTAAAAAGATTAAAAATATGTACTCTAACTTCAGGCACTCTACAAATCCAACTATATATGATGAAGATACATAAGGAAGGGGCTCAATAGAAGAGACATTACGGATGAATTAAAAGCCTCCTAGATTCGTTTAATCAGATGAGAAAAACTTCAATCAGTAATACTATAGTTAAAAAGGCAATGAGCAAAAATTTTAGATGAGTTCCACTCTTGTAGCTGGTAAATCTAACAAACTAGAGATGAAACTACCTGAAATGAATGTAAATGATTTCGGATTGAGACCGTTAGAGGACGAATCCAGATTGAAATATCTGAGATACATGCAAATGTATGACAGCACTCTCAAGAACTATAAATTAACAAGTTATTTGAAAAATAAAGTTGAAAAAAATTTGTAAGCTTATTATTTAGATCTTAATTATATACTTTAGTTCAATGGGGAATCTTTAATACATCAATGAAGTCAGGAAAATTGCTTCTAGATCAAATATGAATAGTGTGTAGAAGAAACAAAGACAGTAGCAATATTAGAAAAGCCTTGAACATTCTAAAGATTCCAAGGATTTAAGTCCTGATAAGAAGTCTTTCGATTCTTCTCAAGTCATAAATATAGCTGATCAATAGGTTTTAGAAATGGAGCTAATGAAAACTCTTTCAAAGTAGAGTAGCTAATTGAGTCTTAAGAGGAAAATATCTTGCTTAGAGATACCTAAGAATGAGGAAGGAATGCCTTTGAAATTACAGGACTTAGACCCTCTATCATTATAAAAATTCTAATCCAGAAGTGAGTAAGAGAGATTCATAAAGAATTCAAAGATTCTTAGAGATCTGTCGATACAATATCAACTTAATTCAAATTACTATGAGGTATCAAACTAATTTTTGCTTGATACTATCAGCTAACATGACTTCAGGCGTTTGACTGTAGCACAAATTGACTCTTTAAAATCCTTAGTTGAAAATAAGCAAATAGATTGCAAGAAAGATTTCGTTTCTGCTCTCAAGGAAGCTCTAGCCCATAAAAAGCATAAAAAATAACCTAGAAAGAGCTTTTTGCATTCTTCTGTCCATGATCATGCTTCATCATCTACTCAGGGAAGTGCAAATAATATGTAGTCAGAATTGAATAAGCTAGCGATGTTGACATAATCCCCAGAAGTAATGTCTTATAAAAGATGGACAGATAAGATGACCCCAAGAACATTAAAGACTATCATGCTTTCTAAAAATATGTCCTAGCAGAAAATAAACCTTAAACAGCTAAAAAATAACAAAGAGAGCATGCTTGTCTATGCAAATCATTCTGTGGATTTAAATAAACAGCACCTTTTATCTAAATACATAGCTGATCATCAAAAGACTCTTAGTCCTGGGGGACCATCAGTGGCTTATGACAAACCTAAGATTAAAAAGCCATAGCAATCAGCAGCTGATTTCTTTGTTAAGCACAGATAGTAGGTGAAGAACTAATATGATTTAAAGCTAGACACCTAATAATAGTCACAAATTCAATCAGCTCCAGCTTTGAAATACCAGTAAAACCTTTCAATCGACTTGAGCAATAACACTCTTTCAAAGATCAAGGATCCATTAGATTAGACCTAGTCTCAAAAGCATTCACTAATTTAGATTACTAAAGATTCCAAAAACCTTGACAAGATCGCTCATAAGTTATCTAAGGGAAACTACGCTGATCTATTTGAAAACGTATACTAAACCAAATCAAAGGTCAGCCAAGACCAAATGTAAAAGAAAAACTTACTGTTAGAGCATGTAATGCTGGAAAGAGAAGAGCTAGAAAAAGAGAAGAAAAAGAACCGAAAGAAGCAAAAGAGGAATAAGAATCAAGGCTAGAAATGGTGGCGAGAGACCAAAGACGATGTGAGCATTGATCTATTCTAGCTCCCAGTGTTTTAATAATTCTATTGATCCTATAAGAATCAATAAATTGAGCCATACATCATTTAATCTTGATTTAATAAATTGAAATCTTAAGACTCCAATTATGTAAAGTGGGGTTTTGGGGTTTTGGGGTTTTGGGG